GTGAGATACCGGTTAGGAAAGGGGGTCTCACTCCTGGTGAGATACTAACCGGGAAGGACGGATGTGGGGCAGGCTGGGTCTCCTGCGGAAGAGAGAGAGAGAGAGAGAGAGAGAGAGAGAGAGAGAGAGAGAGAGAGAGAGAGAGAGAGAGAGAGAGAGAGAGAGAGAGAGAGAGAGAGTGAGAGAGGGGGATATTCCATTGGGGGAGGGGGAGGAGGGGCATCTCACACTCCTCGTCTACGGGTATGAGTGACCTAAAACTGACTCACAAAGAACCTCTCGCGACAAATGATGCATCATTAACTTTGAAGGATTTTTTAAGCATGATAAGAAGTCAGAGTTTCCTGAAAAAAAAACATTGGGTGTTGTTTTCCTCAAACAAAGAGCCAGTTTCAGCTACCACTCGGATAATTGTTTTGCCTTGTGTGCGTTCTGGGAGGAGCCTCTTAAGTTCATCCCGTCACTGACGATCGCTCGCTGTCCATCTGCAGCTCAGTCCGTCTAACCCGCGGCCAATTAAGCGCTCCACACTAACACAGCCATTAGACTGGCAGTCCAGCCCAGCCATCTGTCGCCGCCGCCGCCGCCGCCGCCGCCGCCCCCGCCGCCGCCGCCCGGGGTGAGCTGATCCCGGCGGCCAAATCAGGCCCAACTCCGGTGTGCCAATCATTTAGCGTTGACTGCACCCCCTGCCGCGAGCCGACCAATATCGGATACAATCATGGGGGCACCCTGCTGAGAGCGGTGCCGATATTTACAGCTCTTTTATTGGTTTTACGGGCGCGACACGGGCTGGCGGCCACCCACCGGCTGCACGGCGGCGAGCGGTGGACGGTGGACGGTGGACGGTGGACGGTGGACGGTGGACTGTGGACGGTGGACGGTGGGCAGTGGGCGACAAACACCGGCGGTGGATGCAGCGGACGACAATCAGCAGCAGCTCTGAAATACGATTTAACAGATTTTTAGATCTAGTTGGATGCTGTGGTATGGTATATTGCTGTCTGTCTGGTTATTTTGTTTGGACGGTCGTCCACATTTTTTTCGTCTTTCTGTCTGCCCTTGGTTGTTTGCTTTTTTGAGATCCAATGGATGAAATAATAGAAGCTGACTTTGAAAGAAACTGACTTTGCTTGCAGAAAAATCCAACAAAGCATTGTTAGCAATCGAGTCATGTCATCAACTCTGGCCTGCCTTTCGTACACATGCCATGGGCAACTCATTGTTATTTGATGGCTTGTTCTATGTCGAATTATGGTCACTATACAAGGTCAACGACGCTTGTAGCAACCAGCGCCATCGCCCATCACACCACATCGAATTAGGCCTGGGTGCATTGTGTAAACCGCACCTTATTCTATCCAGCACGCTGTATGGAGGGCGGCACTACCTGTGCTTTGTTCGCTCCGGAGAAAGCGGCGGCGGTTTTAGCACATCAGTGTGAACATGGCGGCCGCTGGGGCGCCGCAATGCCCGCTCTAAGCGCTCTGTGTTTGCTGGGCGGGCGCTGGTCCGGTCCGCTCTGTGGACCGGTCTGTGTTCCGAGGTCCTGGTCGGCAGCCGTCCGACCGGCCATCATTGACGGATTAGTGCGAATTATGATGATATCACGGCCGGGCCGCGTGTAAAGGTGCCGGTACCTGTCGCCCGTGGTCGTGTGTGTGCTCTCTGCAGGCTGGCAGCGCTGTGGCTGTTTGATGAGTGGGCCGGCTGGCGCTGCCGCGGCCCGACCCGCCCAGCTTTCCCAGCTGTTTGAATGGTGCAGGTATGGGGGGAGGCGGCCGCGGCCCGACTGGGGTGTTTGCTGTGTCGATGGTCGGACCGTGGCTGTGTGCCGAGCGCGTATTTACAAATTGCAACCGAGCTCCGCCGTGGGGTAAGGTGGGCAGGGGTTTTCGCACTACGGCTGCGGTTGAACTACCGTCTGTGGTAGAAACTTCAGGACGATGGCGCGTTTCATACGAAATCTGGCGCAATGTTTGTTTGCTTCTGTACTTGTACTGTTATTTGCTGTGAATTCTTGAAGTGGGAGTGTTTCAATAACAATTTATGGATTATTTGAGTTTCTTTATATAAACATAATACTGATATGATCAATTACTTAGTTTGGGAATTGATACACATTTTGTAGAGATTTGTCTGGCAAATGGTGTAACAAACCTCAAGCCTATCATGATCTGAAGCTGTTATAGGTAACATCAAAATTGCTTCAATGTTACCTTGTACCACCCTTGTACCTTGTTGGAAAGACTGGAGCATGGTTCAAGATGATGCGTAAAAATTCAAGATTTGTGCGAAAGCTTGTGACTGAAGAACGAAAACAGTTTGATATGATGGCTCAATCAAACGTGGAAATGGAAGACAAAAGTAGAGTTTCAACATTCCAGCATGTGAGAATAACTTCAGAAATTCATAGTTCTTGTAGTATTGCATTCTTCTTATGTACAGTTAATAGGTTTTGTTAGGGTATTTCAAATTCATTGTGTCAGTTGTGAGTTGAGACATAGATGGATTGCGGAAAGTTTTTTAGAATCATTGTATGGTACCTAGCTAGGTACCTACTTGTTCGGTAAAAAGGTATGTGCTGAATGCCATGAGAAGGTTTTTTATGATTTAATATATGGTCGTTGTTGTACCTACAAAAATGCAAGCTTACTAGCAACTAGTTTCTGAATCAAATCGAAAGTACCTATTTGCCATGAATGTAAATATGTACCTGCAAAGTATGTCAATAAATTTGTGTGATGTTGACCAGAGAGTTTTATCATCTGGGCATTTATGTCGCTTCCTACATTAGGTGTTAAGCATAGTAATTACGGATGAACTTTGTGCCAATATCTTCAATGCACATTGCACAATGTATTAGCATGTCTACAACCCTCACTGATCCTGCTATAGCTATAGGCATTTGGCACCAGCTTGACCAAGGGCATGAACTTCACAGTTGCACAACCTTTTGTTTTGTCATGTACCACCAGTCATTTTTTTTTTGTGCACCAGTCACTTTTTTGTGCACATAGCAGTGCACACAACAATGTGCAGAGGGCCTACACAAAAACAACATGATTAGTGTGCACTATGCACAGCATTGTACCCTGATTATTTGAATATTTTGACCACTCAACAGTCAACAGTCAGGAGATAATTATTTAATATCACATTTATTATACATCACTTGTCAAACAATAGCATGATGACACACATTTTGACAAGCATTCATGGTAGTATTCCAATAAGTTGGACAGTCACCTCCCTGGGCGTCATTTTTCCGGGAAGGTACCTCTGCAGTGTTGTGGTAGGCTAGGTTGAATTGGGTTAAGTTAGGCGAAGTAAGGTGGTTAGGACCAGGTCAGACCGTAAGGCCTGGTCAGGTTGATTTTAATCTTTCATTCTAATTTGACATAGATACCTATTCCCTATGTTTTTGCTCCAGCCTGAATTTCATTAGGTAATGAGTTAATTTTGCTTTGTTTTTATCTGTCTTGTTTTGTGTTTTTGTCCCTTATATTTTGCCCCATAGGCAAGGGCGGATTTTTTCCAGGAAAGGTGGTGGAGCATGATTGGAGGCGCTCAACCAGACGGCATAGGAGGGCACGATTTCTGAACGCGCACTGATGCCTGATTCAAGCCACGCTGTCTTCATGCGGGGCGGCGCGCTACTTAAAAGTCCCTAAAAGAACGGGAAATGATGCCGATAGAACCTTCAATCATTCTGGGCTAACGCTTATGACTTGGAAAAAGTCGCGATCCCAATTCAATCGAAAACCTGTGGGCTCTTGTTCAGCAGGAGGTGTATGAAGAGCCACCCGCCATAAGCACTGCTCAACCGCAGGCACAGGTTTAGACGGCGTTGGTCCGCATCAAAGCCAGTGTGCTGGAGAATTCATTGGCTGAAATGCTCCAGAACGTTCACCACTGTGTTTTTATGAAAGGTGGCTACAAGCTCAGTTAAAAGAAAAAGTACCAGATTGTTTTGCTTTTTAATTACAGCGGGAAGAAAGGTGTCCGGTTAATTTCGTTACACCCCCTGTAATGTTCAAATCCTCCTCCTATAATTGGGACAACACAAGAGCCCGTTGGAGGGAGGCTTGAATAAAAAAATAGTTGCTAAATTCGAAATCAGCTCCAAAAACTAGCCTAGAAACATGTAAAACTCGAAAAAGGAACCGAGGTCATCAAAGGTCATTGAGCTGACCTGACCTTCAGGTGACCTTGACACCCACCCTAATGCATGGGACCAGCATCATATCACATGTTTCAACGCTTGAAACCACGTGAAGACTGCAACCGCGCGGCTAATGCGATCCGACATACGCCGAATCGCGATTCGGGCCAAACATGGTCTCGAGAAATAGGTCACAGGTCAAAGGTCATTTAGGTCAGGGTCATGAAATTTTCAGGGTAGGTGTAAAATTGATAAAATCGGGGGCATTGAAATTTTCGTCGCGATCGGACGGTTTTTACACGAGTTACTCACGAAAAACCGATAAAGCGCACCCAAAAAGGCAGAAATATGCACATGCGATATCCTATACTGCAAAAAAAGTGCATCATTTTTTAACGTCGCCGACAAATTGTAATTACCCTAAGCTCAGGCAGATGTATGGTAGAAAATGCCCCAAGTGAAATACACTACGGCGGAAATAAAATACCCTACGGCGGAGCTCGGTTGCAATTTGTAAATACGCGTGCCGAGCATTATCAACATGGAGCGGCGAAGTTGCAGCCGGCAGGCTCGGGCTGATGTCTCGGCAGCGAAGTTGCCGAGACATCAGCCAGATTGTGTCTCGGACTACACTGTGCATAACTCCGTCATTCAAGCTAGGCTAGAGACATTTGGGTGTGCTCTTCCTAACCATATACGCTTGCAACTAATATTCCCCTTACCGTCTTTGCATGGTGTCACTAAAATAATAACAAAATAAATGCTTACAAATTACTGGCATAGCATCGTGTTACCTTATTGACTTCTTGGTCACTTTTACGATGAAAAGACTCTCTTGCAAGCTGCAACAATCTATATTGCAAGGGACATAAATATAACACCACAGCTGTCATACAGTACACGAGCGTTCACGACATCCAGCTAAAACCATTGACCAGTGTTGCCCAATATGGGCCCCGTGGATCGCGACACATTTACATCAGGGGTCACTCACGCTACTGGTAGTGGAGTTCTAATGTAGCGACCTTCTGCACTGTGCCCAATCGTATTGCAAGGATTAGTCACTCTCTGTCTACACACAGCAAACAACGAATGGTCAGAAAACGAATAGCAATGGGCCATACAGATAGCAAGAGCAAAAATTGTCACAGAGAAATTAAAAAAGATCATTTTCCAAAGTTTCTTTTTTATCCCCCACAGACTATATACTTTTGTTTTTAGGTCCTTGAGTAGGTATACTGGTCACTGGTGGATCCAGAAACACTATGTAGAGCAGTCCGATAACTAACTCATTGTTGTTTGGGTAGCGCCTCAACATTCGAATTTCTCACTTGCTAAATAGCCACATTCATACAAATTACAAATATCAAAGCATAAAACGAATAAGTTACACTTGTGTCAAGGTATTGAAGTTCACCAAACCGTATTCAGGAAGAGATAAATAGGTAGAGAGAAAATAAATAGACATCATTCGCTCACCACTTTCTCGTCAGCATAACTGTGGTTTCACCTGCGAAATAATAGCGCGAACATCGGATATTTACAGAGCACACGAATATTTTACCGACAGCTGCAAGGTTGCACGGTGAAGGACTTTGGGCCCGGGCGAATAGGAACCGCTTCAGTACTAGCAGCCCAGCAGTTCAGCAGCCCGCTGCTGTAGTACCAATAACAGTACAGGACGCAGCTTCCGGGGACTGCTGCTTCTGCAAATCACTGTTCCCTACCCGCGCTCGCAGAAATGGTAGGGCCCCGTACGCTCTTTGGCCGCTTCAGAGACCCCACCCCAGGAGACCCCAGCCCACACTGACTACAGCACGACAATAGGGTTCACTATCCTCTCAAGCAGTAGCACCAGAGCATCAGCCAGCGACATCGCAACTCTGTTCACCTAAACACGATAGTGTATCGTCCGCACACACAGCCAACGAAAAAGCTGCCTAAGAGTAAACTAGCGCTCTCCGGGAGGTGGTGAGTCCGATTTGAATGGTCGGAAGAAGGTGCTGGGGTCAGGTGAGCTAGTCGTTACCGCCGCCGCCGAGGAGGCCACCAGCGGAGGTGAGAGGGAGCCACGCCCGGCCGACCCCAGCAGCGGCGGCTGCGGCGGCGGCGGCAGCAGGAAGCCGGAGGCCAGGCTGGGCTGCGGCCGCAGCGGCAGTGCCGGGTACGGCGAGAAGCGGCCCTTGGCGGCGGCCAGCGGGCCGTAGTAGCCGGCCAGGTGCGGCAGCACGGCCGCCGGCGGGCCCCCCGGGTGGCTGTGGTGGGCGGGGTGGTGGTGGGGAGGCGGCGGCGGCGCGGCGCCGTACGGCCCGTAGCCGCCCGAGGCCACGGCTGCCTGGAGCAGCAGGGCGGCCAGCGTCGGGTCGGCGAAGCGCGGGTCGAGCGGCCAGGAGGTCATCTGCTGCCGCTTGTGCTTCATCCGACGGTTCTGGAACCATACCTGGAGACGGGCATAGAGGAGGGCTGTGAAGAGGGTTTGCCAGGATTTACCCACTGCCGAGTCTCGAATGAATCCGGAAATGTGTACCCACTGCTGTCAGACTTTGTAAGGTACTAGTATTTGACCTGGCCTCGATCAAAGAATGAACAACGCTTATCGAGAGCTCCTTATGAGTGCATATCATTTATATCAGCTTAGTGTTATTGCGTGCTTGTTATCGCTAGAATGTGCAATGTGCATTTCAGTAAGCTTCAAAAGTTCCTTACCTTGATGGTTCCCTCTGCGAGTCCCAGCTCGGTGGCCAGCTCGTTCCTCTTGGGTCGGCTGACGTAGTTGTCCTTGAGGAACTCGGCCTCGAGCCGTTTGATCTGGTCGGGCCTGAAGGCGGTGCGGTAGCGCCGGATGCCCGGGTCGGGGGTACCGCCGGTGGTGAGGTCACCAGAGGTCAGTTTGGTGCCGGAGGAGGGCGGCGGGGTCGAGCGGTGCTGGGGGCGCTCCTCAGGCAGCTGGTCGGTGCTGTCACACGAGGCCGTCTTGCTGTCCTCTGCAACAGGAGGCAAGAAGTACAGTGACCGCCATATCATTGAGAGGCTGCTAACTCGGGGTAGCACACTTGGCAGATCGTCAGATCTGGAAGGTCACGCAAGCAGGATACAAAACCGATTGCAACAAAGCAAGGTCACTGCAGCAGGCAGGAGGGCCACCACTCACCAGCCCAGTCGTTACGTTACACACGTTACGGCGGTATCGCTTCACTGTGTCGTTAGTGTGCAGTAATCGGCCGTAACGGTGACATTAGCCACCCATTATGGGGCCGCCACGCCCCGTAACCTACACCGGGTGGCGCACATCAAACGACTGTTAACGCCGCCGCAAGGACAGACGATGGCGGCGGTGGCAGTCAGCCGCCGCGGATCTGAGCTGCGATCTCTGATCAGCTGACTGCAGCGCAGCTCGAGTATCTCGAGAGAGAACACAGAGAGGATTATATTTAAAGGGTGCTGTGCTTGTGTATCAAATAATCTTGTCGAAGCAATCGCAAGCGTTAGAACAAAGCATGCAAAGTACTTAACAAAACATTTTTAATAAGGGCACGTGGTCATCCCAGTTAGCATTTATAACTGCAAATAAACGTAGCCACAAAGCACAAAGAAGGATCTAACGCTAATCAAAGCAAAAAGGGTTCCCAGGTGGTCTTAAGCTTTCTTACTTTATGAGTTACTTAGCGGAAGAAACTGAAAGGGGTTTTGCCCCCCCCCCCCCAGAAACCAGCTAACATCAAGGGCTGCAGAAGGTCAAAATGATTATAACCGAAACTCTACGCAATTTCGAGCTACATTCAGCAAAGATCTTTCGTAAATCGTTACTCTAGAATCGTCATAAAATCGTAAATTGTAAATCGTTAGTTGTTAAATTAAGCTACAAAATAAAATTACATACATCAATTGCCCCAGGGCAATTACAAAGGCATTTGCTGTATTGCAATTGCTGTAGGTATCTATTTTTAGCTTAATAACGATTTAGCGACTAACGATTAACGATTTTATGAGAATTCCAGAGTAACGATTTACGAAAGGTCTTTGCTGTAATTCCATTCTCAGCCTAAGTTAATTAATTTCAAGCTCATAATTAGATAGGTACATCGTGTAATACGTTCACCAGTGCTCAAGTGAAGCTTATCAATTTATTTGATTCCTCAATATTCCTGCAAAGTTACAGTACCTATCGGAATGAAATGGACAGTCTCATGAGATGCCTGGACATTAGTGGATAGTCTTTTTCACTTGATGAAAACGATGCAGTGTATCACAAGCCTAATTTTGCAATATAATCCAAGCATATACAAACAGTTTGCTCTAAACTTTTCACTATGAACATTGAACAGCTAAAAACTTGCAGACCATTAAGTTTAAAATAAGGTAGCTTTATGCCTGTTAGATGACCTTGACCTCAATACACGACTCTGAGAACGCTGGTTCAAGTTCAAACTCAAATTGATCGTCTAAAATCACTGCAGACTGGAGTCACACGATTCAATTTCACTGCAATAAGTTTCGTTGAGTTTAGATCTCTGACAGTGATCTCTGATTTACTGCTCATAGAAATACGCAGGCTCATTTTTAGCATTTCTGAATCCCACCAACCATGACAGTCCGTTAGCAAGGGGCACACTGCTAGGATGACTAAAATGCCGTGAATTATGTATCGAAATCTTCTGCGACTTATATCTAGTAAAACTGGCCTGGGTCACCGCGCTGCTGGCCAGATATGAACTGTGTCTGGTCACTGCCCGAGGCTAACTCTCTGGTGTGCTACTTACACAACGTAATTTATCTCAAGCTTCCCGATGGGCTGAGACGGTGCCACAGGACACTCAATGTCAAGACATGACCCCTCAGAACCGTACCCAAACTGACATTTCAGAACAACCAGCGGCCACGGCCCGGGCCGGCCGACTGACCCGCGTTGACCCCACGGCCCTCCACACTGCCCCGGGGCAGCTCTCCAGGCACTGAGTGAGTCCCGACAGTGGTCACGGCTGGGTCTGTAAGGCCAGAAGGCCGGGGCCGGGGCCGGTGTCTCACCTGAGCTGGCGGCCGCTTTGGGCGGCGAGCCGCTGCTGTCGGCGCTGACGGGCGGCGGGCTGGCGGCCGGCTCCCTAAGCTCCCCGTAGGCCTTCAGCAGGTCCAGAGAGTAGGCCGGCCCCGGGAAGAAGGGAGGCGGCGGCGGCGGCTCGGCGGCGGCCGGCGACGGCTGACGGCTGCTCATGACGACCGGCGGCTGACCCGGCGACCGCACACGGAGCGCTGCCGGACCCACATTGAAGATGGCCCGCGCGCCGGCCGCGCCACGGACCGCCCTCCGGTTAGTATCCAATTACTGGGCGGCCGCTGATTGGTCGGTCGGCCGGCGCCGCCGCCTCCCATTGGCTGCCGCCGCCGCCGCCGAGTTATTGGCCCGGCCTGAGCGCTGATTGAGTAATTGGCTGCCATTAAGCACAGGAATCATCCGCACTTAGCGTAAATGGTACACAGCGCCGCGGATGGTCGGCGGATGGAGATTACAGCGCGTCTAATGAGATGCAGCGCAGGCTCCCGGGAGAGAGGGGAGGGGAGGGGGCAGCTGCCGCCGAGGGCAGAGGCCGGAGGAGGCTGTTGGCAGAGGCCGGAGGAGGCTGTTGGCAGAGCTCGGTGCCAGTGAGTAATGCGGCTCTCGGCTCTGCCGCAGACCGACCGAATGGCGCAATCAGACGCAGGAAGCCGTGATGGCGGCAGCTGGGCCGACAGCCCGAAATGAAACGCCGCAGAAAATTAACGCCGAACGGGGGAGTACTAAAACCGAGCCAAACGGGTGCGGGTGAGACGAAACGGGCAATATATTCAGGAGACGTGCAAAAGGCTGAGCACAGGTAGACTTCAAGTGCGCAACTATGTCTCCCATATACAGCATTGGACTAGATCGCGCTTGATTCTCTAATCAAGTAAGGAAAATCATCGAATTATATTATTGAAATGCATCCACCATGCGATCTAATCAATAGCTCAATTAAAATAAATAAATAAAATTCTGCTTCAAATTACGTTCTATGGAAATGTACGGGCTAGTTCATATAGACCACGTTTCCATGGGCACACTGATCCGGATCAGTAAAAATGGATTAGCTAATCCAGTATAGTTAGACATTATATGAAAATGAAAGTAAGGGATTAACTGATTATATAAGCCTAATCCACTTTGAATTATATCCTGTAACGAATAGTTCGAGAAATATAATACGATTTAAGTTTGCTGATCCGGATCAGTGATGCCCATGGAAACGGGGTCATAATCATTCATCCCCCCTTGACGAAACTTTATTTTGTGGCAGCTGCCCCACGCACGACTGTATAGTATACATGAGTGCACGCTACAATATCGCCTACCGGTCGGTGTTATTTTCACTAGCGCTGCCATCATCAACGACAGTGATAGTGACAGTTTTAAGGCGGTGTCAGACCCCGCCAGCCATTCTCCCCCGGACACCCCTGTGATGACAGTGACCGTGACAGTGACAGTGGCAATGACATACCCCTCGTCACCCTCGCTCGGGTCCGCCGCCGCCCTGACCTTGTTGTTCCAGCGTCCCCGTCCGGCGCCTATGGTTTATGGGTGCACCATCCGACCTCCCCAGCCCAGTTTAGTGTTCTGTGCGACCGTGGCCGTGGCCATGGCGGTGTCACGATCCCCAGTTTACGGTACTCCCCCTCCCCCCGCCCTCCGCGCCAATCCAGATATCCCGTCCCCACGCAATGGGACTCCCAATTAGATGGGGGATAGGCCACTGGGGCAGCGAGGCAGTGGTAGGGACGTCGGCAACGGTGACGGCGACGGTGACAGTGACGAGGATGGTAGCGTTTGGTGAAGCAGTTGCTGGGCAAGGAAGGTGGTAACATCTAACTAGGAAGATGGGAGGATGCCAGTGAACTCGGTCGATGACGGAGAGCGCTGTGAATGAACTTAATAACTCCGTCTATGAAGCATGGTGAATAGCGAACATACGTTGCAAAGGTCTATGCTTGAGGGTGGTCAAAAGTAAACAAGTGGTCCCCATTGACATTTAGACTCTTATGAAGACGGTCAGTCATCAGTTGTAATGCCATTGGTCATTACGGTCGGTCACTGCGAGTTAGTCCGCAAACGGTCACTATCAGTACAGTGACCGCTCGTCCCAGCCCGCAACAGCTTTATTGGTCCCACCGTATCACAGCTAAGTATAGGAGAAAGCGTGGGATAAAGATGGCATCGCCTCGTTTCCGGCTCAGCTGAGAGCTAAATCAGTGATCCATGAATGGAACAGTGATAACATCTGTTCTAAGAACGGTGTCGAGGCGAAGCAGTGGTCCAATGACATCGTACATCTGTGTGACGATAGGAGCATGTTAAAAGGCCGTATCGAAGTGCATCTCATCGTATCACACGCATTGTTTATTATTCATCACACAATTTGTTTATCATGTCTAGAGAAATAGGCCATCGAGCGACTCTTAAAACGCATAGAAATAACACGTTTTTGATCCTGTTTCGAACAAATGATAGCGTGTACTAAAGGACGTGCACTAAAGGACATGATTTGGAGTTTGCTAATGTAGGTAATAATTGAATGAAGACTTTACTCCACAAGAAATCGTTCGGGTCGGAGCTTTCACGTGTAGCAGCACCCAATTCGAAAATTCGTTGCAGCTCATTTGCATATCCAACATGTGTACAAATGCAACAGTATCACCGTTTATCTAATGTGTTTACTATATTATTCATCTGCAATATCTTAGTAATAACTAGCGAATTTCATATCTTTTTTTAAGCGACTCAATTGCCCGATTTCTGAGTCAGGCTCAAATATAACCAATGTATCAGAATGCAGTCAATCTGCGAGATAAATGCTCCGGATCTGTAAGCATCCCATAAGCAAGCATTTATACGTCCGCTGTTATTCGGCGAGCGAAGCTAAAGCTGTATCAGTATGCTGACTAGCTCAGCAGAACTGCAGCTCGAGTCTGTCATACCATATTTCTGCCGTCGTATGATGGGGCCTGAAAATTAAATCGCCGTCTCTCAGCTCCATCAACTCGGCAGCGCCCTCGCCAGCCGAGCTCGAGTTATGAAGCCGCCCGCTCTCAGACGCTAATCTCATAAAATTATTGCCGAATTATTCGTCCAATTTAGCGATCCCATCTGTGCCGGCCGTGTGTTCATCTATTTTATCTGAAGGGTCGACATAAATAGTTGAGTTGGGTATGTTTTTGTCGAGAGCTGCCGTCGTGGGGGCGCTGACGAATGACGAGGGCGGGACAGGGGCGGGGGAGGAGGACGGACAGGAAGGTTTGAAGGAGCGAAGGTTTGCGCTTTCTTGTTTTGTTGCACTGCACCATCAATAAGGCCGCTGAGCAGTGGTCTGACTGGTCAGCATGGTGTGAATGTGAAGGCCGATAGGCTTTGGTCTTACTTGAGAAATAACAATATCAAAAATGTAACCTGGCAACTTCACAGCATTGTATAAATGTATTGTATATGGCCATTACAATGGTAGGGTAAGGTGCCTAATTAGCGACCCCCTTAATTTGAACCGTCATTGCGCACGCTCTGTGGGTGCCACTGTGTTACTGGCTTGATTTTCGAAGAGATCGTTCATTTTTCTTTTAAAATATAGTCATTTTCTGCCCCAATATTCACCAACTTATTTGTAGTGAGCATTTCGGCAAACCATTGCAAAAAACGCTAATAGGGAACTCTTCCCGATTAGCGACCGGGGAGGGTCGCTAATAAGTCTATGGGTTTCCCCATATTAAAAATGGCAAAAAAAATGCGACGCCTGAAAAGATGAAATATGACCTAAAAAAGGTAATCTATACGCAAAGCACTCAATCACTCGAACAGGAACGTTTATCCAACACATTTACGTAAGTAAAAACTGATCACGTGATGCACCGAAGGCGAAAAGAAGGCGGAAACCTAAATTTTGCGGGCTATCTCGTATGATATTCGAGGTCCGCGCTGAATTCGGCACCTCTGCAGTCGGTGACAACATTTGACATCCTCTGCCACACATTGCAAGCTTCAGCAACACCTCATTTTCATTTCTCACTTTTCCCCTTTCTTTCCCTTCTTGAGCTATTTGCGACCATGTCAGGCGCAAATAGGAAATATGAGTTGCGACACATTTTTAACCGCCATGCTGTGCACAGTTGAGCGATTCACTATGGGAAAACGGCAATCAATTAAAAAAGGAATGTCGATTCAGAATAAAAAAGGTGCATCATCCTAATGTGCATCGCTTTTCATCAGAGAGGGCCCAAACACACACGTTTTGGATAAGAAAGTCGTCATTTTTATTTAAACTCACCTGAAACGTCCCACTAGAAACATCGACGACCGGAAAATAATTAAATTTGATAACCAAAGTATGGCTGACCCTTTGACGATGTTTTTACCCCGTTTTCTCCCGCCAGTTTTCCTGTAGGGAGGTAGGTCGCAAATCGGAAAGGGTCGCTAATTAGGCACCTTACCCTAAACCCTCTCCATCATCGCTGATCGCGAATCCCGTGTCTACCGATATCACTCCGTCTGTGGGTTCATACATTTCTTTCATGGCAGTCTTTCGTTCCCTCACCCGTAATCCGTGCCGTTTTTGCCGTCGGTCGTTCGGTCGTCGTTTCCGCACTCGGAGGAGCCCAGGACGGTCATAAACGGCGTCGGACGCGTCGGGACCGACGCAGGGCGGCACAGGGCGCCGGCGGATGTTGTGTCTCTGTCCGCCGGCGGCCGGAGCGGCCACTTACCGGGTCGCGACCCGTTTTAGCGCCGCGCGGAGAACAGCCGACCCCGTGGGTACGCTAAGGGAGCACTGAGGCGGGACGTCGGTCTTTGAGGAATATCACTACGTCTTCAGAGGTGTTCACCTGAGGTGAGTAGGTGGTCGGGTGGTGGATAGTTCCGGCTAGAGAAGGGTCTGGTAAGTGGGGTAGTCAGTGGTGATTGAATGGACATCCGGTCTGTCCAGCTGACCCTCCCTCGGCCTAGAACGTCGTGAAGGATTGGGAAGAATTCGCTAATTTTAAGGTATCGTATGAAACGTTTACTGAAGCGTTTAGAAGTTATATTGATGAAGTGCGCACTCGTTCAGCACTTTCTATAACGGTGCCGATTTTGGCATGGTTGATCCAAGATGAGTTTCTTTGGTAGGCTGAAAAAGTCCTATGTCTATGTATATCTTTAGTATTAAACACTCTCGCTTATTGCTAGAGTGACTTATTTTGTCGGGTAGGAGTGACATCAAGACTACTTAAAAAGAATTTAATGTTTAAACATCGATGGAATGACTTTCTGATTATTTTGGTTGCTTCAAAAGTGATCCTCTTGTAATCAGAATAGTGATGCCTCACCTCATAAAATCCCCACTAAGCTGTTTCATCACCAAATAACTGTCACCGATCAGCAAAAAATATAGTTGATTTGATATCAGCTCAAGGTTTGTTGATGGATGCGTCGTTTTTCTGTCGCCGCGTTACGAGAGAAATGAACGGCACGCCATCGACAGCGCTCGATCTGCGTCAGTGTGTGACCGGTCGCCGGCGGACCTACGGTTTTTGTCCGTACTTTGCCGGCCGATGGGTCGATTCCCGGCCTGGGTAAACAAACACGACCGGCTGGAGAGG